AACATTATCATTGACTGCACGATACAACATCAAACAACAGCTAAGTATTTGATAAGGAAATCTTGGAGAACACTAGAAAAAGGAAATGCATTTCAGTATTGTTCGGTGATGGAAATAAAATTCAAGTGGAGAAAACCATCTCGTATATGCTTACTCTGAAAGAATTTGCCTCCAAGGCGATCAAACGGCGTAGCAGTATAAACCCAAAAGTGATGGCAAAAACTTATCAAATTGCGTTCATGCTTCTCTCTCCTATCCTTTTCTTTCGAGAACATGGGCATCGAAATGTCCGCTGAAAACCTAATTTGAGGGAATTGGGGGCCATTGAATGGATGAAGTGAAGCACTTATAGGTGTCATAACCGTATTTCACTTGAGGTTCACGTCAAATCATGGCTGACGCAAAATAATTCGTGAATCTCCCCTTCCGATTCGGGCATTTTGATACGAAACTGGAGCTGAATTATTTTATGAGATAAAAAACAACATGTAAACTTCCTGTATTGACCATTTTTATTAAAATTTAGGGCGTCCTGGTTTTACTACATACTGTATTTCAGTTGGGAGTGATTAGGCCCTTGACTAGATTTTCAAGCACCTGCTCGACTTCGACCTAAACAAACTTGCGTGCCTTGCTGGATGGCTATGTATTTTTGGTTGTAAAATCTTTATGGATAATTGTTTTACAAGATCTGAAAAAGAAACTTCTCAGAAGTTTGTTTTGAATTTATCACATCTACTCAAATGTGCACATTTTGGTAAGAATATATAGCAGAATTTAATAATGTTGTACAACCTATAACGATACTCTCCCTCTGATATGCGAGGTATATTTACTATCAAAAACAGCACATGAGACCATGGTCTCATCTAACTCAAAAGGAGGCTTGGGCAATCTGGAATCGCGGTTCTCCCATTTATTTACCCCTAATCATATCCGGTTATAGAAACATTTTGAGAGGGCAGGAATATACTGTTCATTATTTCCATATATTGCATTTTTAAAAATGGAAAAGGCTTGGAAGGTACCCGCCAAGAAGATAGAAAAAAAATACAGGAAAAATGATTTACATTTTAACAAGTTCGAATTTATATTAGAGATGGCAATTTGTAGCTGGTTAATCCATTACTCGGTCGGAACTATGGCAATCGGTTAGAAAAATATAATTTATGTAAAAGCTAAGTTATTTGCATGGGTTTGATGAACAATACCTTCCAAGTTGTAGGTTATTACAGTAAGTAAACAATACCTTCCAAGTTAGTAAGTTAGTACAGTAAGTTGATTGAGTTAACAGTTTTCACAATGAAACTGATAAGGATGTATACAAGTAAAGACACTGAATCTGAGAAATGTATAATGTGTTACTTTCTGAGGTTTAAAGATAACATTTAAGGTTTAATTGAAGTAAATTTTTTTTGTAAATTTACTTTTTACCTTAATGTATTCATTTTTAATTATGGGCGTTTTTATTGCAGAGAAACCAGTTTAGGTTTCAGTTCGGTTTTCCAATTTTTCTATTTATTTGCAAAACCTGTAACGAACTAGTTTCAAACCTAAACTAGTTTTTTCGTTTACCGGCTTTAAACTAAAACTAGTTTCCTGAAAACTTTAAACCACCTCCGGGTGCGGTTTTGACGGTTTTAATTCCTTTCAACATGGCGAATGCAGAATTTTTGGTGTTGCAATGCGACCAATGTGGGCAGCAATATGACAGAATCGACTAGTTTTCGGGGCACATATTCTGTGTAAAAAGTAATTATTGTTGTTTCACTTCAATTGTAAAAAAATGTAACTATGTTACACACATAAAGACAAATACTAAAGTAAATTAATAAAAGCAGACATAAATAAATGTTATTTATGTCTATGATAGATCTAAAAGTAGATCCATTCTTGTTAGTTGAAGTTATGATCATCATGCACATATCAGAGATGGAGCTAACATGGTAATTACGGACTCAAGGGTATGTCTGTTCATTCTAAATCTGTCTCGGAAATCATCCATTCTATACAAGGGTAATATTGTCTCAACATAATAGTGACACGAGCCTTCCTTTGTCACCTCTTTTTAGGTCACCTGAGTAAACTTAGGTGACCTATTGCTCGTGCGTTGTGCATTTGAACATTTTCAACTTCTTCTCTGCAACCACTAGACCATCGGTTTTCAAAACCCTAACACGATGATGAAAGAACTTCAAAGCCATTGATTGTTTACCAGTGACACGGGGTACACAGTAATGACACCTATTGTCTTTTTCACTGACCACTATACCTTGTTTATTTTGTGGCACAGAGCGACCGTGTCCACTGTTTGAAATAACAATTTCTTTTTGTATGAGAACCGTTTTTTGTCAATCAAAACAAAATAAAAGTATCAAAAAAGCTATTGACGAGTTAAGATTGTGCATAATGAGACGTTTATTTTGATATCCATCACGGAGGTAAAATAATTAAAAGTAGTTTAAATATACTTCAAAAAGACTTTGAGACACATTTTAGCGTAAAACGATTTACATAAAATAAATCAAATAAATCCAACTTTCCGGTATACATTTATTTAATTTGTTTGTATATTTAATTTAAAATAAAAGAGAAATAGTTTTTTTGCAATGATTAATTACACGCAATTAATTACATTAATTTATTTTTAAAGAACGTAAATAAATTTTAAAAACAAGAATTTTCAAAAATGCAGCATTACCCCTGCTGTGTTTTTTTTTCACAAAAGGTACAAAGTCATTCCAAGTATTTTATGGATTAAACCGGCTTTTGCAAATAATATTAAAAATAATTAACTAATTAATTAAAAAAAATATTTAATAATTTATGAAAAAAATAGATAGATAAATATTTTTTGAAGCAATGATTCATTTATTTTTCAGAGTTATTTCAGAGTTATAAAAGAACTCAATGAGTCTCCTAACAAATTAAAAAATACTACTATGTGTTTAAAATATTGTTAAAAAATTTCTCAGGTAAGTAACTCTGTGTACTAAATTGATAATCCCACATCTTAGGTAACCGTACAGTGCTCTGGGAGTGTGTATACTTCTTTTTGCTTCAATGAACATATACAGGGGCGTACTTGGGCATATACTGGGGTTTACCGTAGCTGTCTGTAGGAAACAGTAGCCATACAGTGGGATACTGTAGGCGTACCGGGGCCTACTGTATGTAACTGTGGCATGGTGGGGATATATAGTGGCATACAGAGATTTACTGTATATAAAGAGCTGGCATACCGTACCATACTGTAGATATACCGTAGATTACTGTGAAAATGCTGTAGGATACAGAGAAAGACGGGATTTTGATACGGACAGGGGTTTTAAAAGCAATTTGGATAAGTCAGTAATGGGAAAAACGGAACAGACGATAAAACGACCTCGATACTAACAAATACTAGCTAGTGAGAAAATGTAACAACTGATCACGTAACCATTAAATTTTGAATCTTATGGAACGTTATGCCTCTGAAGGATCGTTAAATCTGATTATTATTACAGGTTGCTATGCATGAATAGGATTATTATATCAAGCTCGCATATGATTTATGCCTTGTTCACACGACGAGTTTAATTCGCAGTAAATTAATGCGAAGTAAACTAATGCGAATCAAAATAATGCGAATTAAATTGCGTTCACACGACAGCTAATGCGAAGTAAACTAATGCGAATTAAAATTCTACTTCTACGGCCAGGCGTCAGTAAGGCTATTATGACGTCATTTGCAAATCACGTCACCTTATGCAGGAGCAGATGCATCTGACATAATGTTACAGTGTCTGTACATACATTTTAGTGACTAACACAATTTTCCTTAGTTTTTCACTCAAAAATAGCACAAATACTTCAAGGTGACCACGGACATGTGGCATTTGACCTAATTTTGCCATTACGCATGCCTCAAAATTTAATTCGAATTAGCTACGCTTAGCGTTCACACGGAGCTAATGCGAAGTAATTTAATGCGCAGTAAACTAATTTGAATTAAACTAATTTGCATTAAATTCCCCGTGTGAACGCTAAGCGAAGCTAATTCGAATTAAATTTTGAGGCATGCGTAATGGCAGTAACTTTACGTTTAATTCGAATTAAACTCTCCGTGTGAACAGGGCATTAGTTTATGCTTAACAGAGTGAATATGAAATACATTTACATGTATAAACTTGTAATATTCTAATCAATGTAATCGTTATCGTTTATGATTGGTTTTAATGTATTTGATGTAAAACGGAAGTAATATATATGACAGAACCCAGAGCATGGTGTGTTGTCACATGGTATCGCTAAACATTATCTATATATTGCCACTAGAAACATAACAAAACTTAAATGGAAAAGTTTCAAGACACAAATACTTAATATTTGATCAATCGCGAACCAATTCACTAACTTCCCAAAATGCATTGAACACGGCATGAACCGTATGTTTTTTTTTTTTACAGAAATTCGTTCTTCAATCACGAGATTTTGCTTAAGTTAAACTTCCTCAAATATTCCAATTAACCTGTCATTATTGATATGACCAGGGTAGACTTGTACTCTAATCATCCTAGAATATCAAGATGTACTTGGAACACGTACAATAATTATGATTATTTTTTAAATAAATCAATTATCAAAAAGCATTGAGATGCTTATTGTTGAACGACAGACAGACTAGGGGTACCATATACGACTTATTAAAATTAATGATAAATCGTCCTCAAAGTCACATGGATATATGTAGCAACTTTTTCTTCGCCAAGTACTTTGAAGTATAATTTGTGAATCTTAAAAACCAAGGCCCTGTATCACGTTAGGCGATAGTACTGGACGTAAAAAAAGTATAAAAAGGTAAATACCACAATCTCTGCCTTTTTCTCTAAAAAGTTAATGTATTTGTAATTGGTACACGATCACTCAATAACAGTGATAGGGTTTTATGTTGAATTGCATGATTCGCAGATTAAGGACCCTAAAACAAATAATATTAATGTCCTTGTATCAGGGAAATTTATAAATGTATAAAAGCATGACATTATATTTTCCTTACCAATTCGAACAGGATGCGGAAAAGTATTTATCAGTTGTCCAGCGCCTTTGTCTTCATTTTGACGTGAGAGTTTAATTTTTTAAAAAGTTCTCTTAGTATAATCCATTATTCATCAATCAATTTATGACTTGAGTTTTAACTCATTTCAGATTGTGCCATGGTGAAAAGGAATGGGACTCCTTCGTATTGAGTTTGACATGGCCGGTTACACTTTGTAAATTCAGTAAACTGTATGTAAGTGCCAATGTTTGTCTTGATATATATATATATATATATATATATATATATATATATATATATATATATATATATATATATATATATATATATTTTATTTATTTATTTATTTATTTAGTCTATATATATATATATATATATATATATATATATATATATATATATATATATATATATATATATATATAGTTAGGGATATTTTTCATGCCAGCACCTATTGCGACACGAGACTCAACCTGCCGCAGTGAGTTTCGAACCCGCGACGCAAGATCAACCCCTTCTTTCGCGACACTAAAGTAAACGCTCTTGCAACCGCGCCATGTGGTAGACATTCTGCTGGTTTTTTTAACTGTCTGTAGCAAAGGAAAAAAAAACTTTAAATTGTACATACCTTTTGATTGTCATTTGCAAAACTATTTTTGTTCAATACTTTCTGAATGTACACACAAATACTTTGAAGTTGATATTAAAAACATGCCTGATAATGAGTTTCTGTTAAAAAATCTAATATAGTTAGAGGGACTAAGTCTCAAACAATCAGTCGGAACTCCAATAGGTTGAAGTGCCCCCCCCCCCCCATTAGCATACGTTTGCATTACTTGTGCAATTTACCCTTATCACCTGTAGAAGGCGTTTTCTACTAATGGAGCATGCTCTACATACGAATAATATCTAAAACGAGACAGGTTATCATCAAACAAGTTAAAAAACAAAAGTATCAAGTCTTGTTTTGAGTCAACAGTAAATGCAAACTCTATGGTTAATACATTGCCCTTGTCAGCTAATATAATCTGATGTCAATCAAAAAATAATGAATTTGAAATGGTGATTCTACTTTTTGTAGGATACTTACTCCTCCATGGTACTTGATCCCATCTCTGAAGTTTAAGAGCTCTGTTCGGAATTTCTGTTGTTCTAGCTAGTTTTTGTTAGTTCACCTGAGCCGAAGGCTCAAGTGAGCTTTTCTGATCAAAATTTGCCCGTTGTCTGTCGTCGTTGTTGTTATAAACTTTTCACATTTTCATCTTCTTCCCAAAAACCACTGTAGCAATTTCAACCAAACTTGCTACAAAGTATCCTTGGGTAAAGGGGATTCAAGTTTGTTCAAATGAAGGACCACGCCCTCTTCCAAGAGGAGATAATATCAAAAATGGTCGATCAAAGTTTTACATAGGAATATATAGGAAAAATATTTAAAAATCTTCTTCTCAAGATCCAAAGGGACAGGAAAGATGAAACTCATGTGGAATCATCCTCATGTAGTGTACATTCAAGTTTTTTTTCAAATCATGACTCCGGGGGTAGGGTGGGGCCACAATGGCCGATCAAAGTTTTACATAGGAATGTAAAGGAAAAATAATTAAAAATCTTCTCAAGAAATGGGGACAGGAAAGATGAAACTCATGTCTGAATCATCCTCAGATAGTGTACCTTCAAGTTTGTTCAAATCATGGCCCCCGGGGATAGGATGGGGCCACAATGGCCAATCAAAGTTTTACATTGGAATATATATGGAATTTTTTTTTAATTTTCTTCACAAGTACTGCAAAGCCATGATAGGTGATATTTTTTTGAAGCATCCTCAGATACTGTAGATTCTAGTTTGTTCAAATCATAACCCCCAGGGATAGGGTGGGGCCACAATTGGGGATCCAAGTTTTACATTAGAATACTCGTACATCTAAAATAAAATAAAAAATTCTTAAGAATAGCAAAAGTTATTATTTAATGTTAGAATTCACTTTTGTAAACCTTGAATTTTGCATTAAACATACGATACGGAAATACAACCTTATCTTTCTAGATCATATTCATCTAAAGCATTGGTGAGATATAAATGTATAATTTATTGTTTCCCTTATCGAATTCTACTTTTAAATGATACAAATAATTGTATCACTCGGGAGATTTCCTATATTAGTGGTAGTCTATGCTATTCAATTGTTTAATTAGTTGGTTCTAAATTCTTCTGTGTGTTTTGAGTACATGTATATTTTGAAAGAAATTATCATTAATTTTGATACATGATTTTGACAATAAATAGAAGTTTGAGGAGTTGAGAAATGATCTCATTACAATTGATTTAGTTTTTTTATTGATTAGAACAAAGATCACCCGAAATGTGTTGTTCCTGCTATGATGTGGGAAATCCACGGGCTATGGTAAGCCAAAACGAAAATGCATGTACTTGTTGATATTTAAAAAAAAATAAGGGATCGAGAGTACATATGGGAAATCCACGGGCTGTGGTAGGCCGTAATTTGTTCAAAACGAAAAAAATTGTTGATATTTTTTAAAAAGAGAAGAGAAGTACATATTTGGGAAGTGGATTACCCATGATATGATCTTATATATTTCGATCTCGTGACGCTCAAAGAAATTTCATTTCAACCTTGTGACATAGAGGGCCGATTTGCTTTTTGTTGTCAATGTTCTATCTTGTTTTATAGAATGTTCTAATCTTCTGGCAATGAAAGACATGATTTGATATGCATCTAAGTATGAAATATTGCTTCATAAATAATGGAAATTGACGATTGAAAAAATAAAAAAAAATATTATACTGTTTAGTTGTCAATATGAAAGACGGCTATGTCACATTTGGAAAAAAAAAAAATGAAAAAATTGCAAGTTAAAAATTACATGTAATTCACGTCAAAAACTTTTCAACTGAGTTTTTTAATTTTTTTTTTTTTTACCTGGAAAGAAGATTTTTCTCTCCCGGTTTTAGCTTCAGTTTTGTTAGATACTGTTTATAATTCTAAAATAGTTCATAAATTGATGACCTATAACAAAGCATTTTTTTTTATAACATAATCAGTTGATTTATTGTTTAATGTTCCTTTTTTCCCCATGAGGAACAACAACGTTTGCACCATTGTGATAAATTCAAGAAATTTGAGGCAATTGGTCTCGCATAAAAAGTTTACAGGAACGAATATCTCCGAATCACATGAACTTTTTTCTTCTTTTTAGAATAATAATATTTATTAGCTCTACTGGTCAGAGATTTCAATGTAACTTGGCACACAAGTAGACTACACTAAGATACATAAAATAGTGCATCAGTTTTTGATTTCGATGAACGGTGTTGCCATGGTTAAATAAAATAGAATTTTCTGTGAAATTCCTTTAAAACGCTACTCCTTCTTCAGTTTGGGTCTGATTTCAATATTACTTGGCACAAAAATAGACTACACTAAGATACATAAAATAGTGCATCGGTTTTTGATTTCGATGAACGGTGTTGCCATTGTTACTAATAGAAATGTCTGTGAAATTCAATTAAAACGCTACTTCTTCTACAGTTTTGGTCTGATTTCAGTATAACTTGGCACACAAGTAGACTACACCAAGATACATAAGATAGTGCATTGGTTTTTAGCTCACCTGAGCCGAAGGCTCAAGTGAGCTTTTCTGATCACATTTTGTCCGTCGTCCGTCCGTCCGTCCGTCTGTCCGTCTGTAAACTTTTCACATTTTCGACTTCTTCTCAAGAACCACTGGGCCAATTTTGACCAAACTTGGTACAAAGCATCCTTGGGTGAAGGGGAATTTAAATTGTTAAAATGAAGGGACATATCCCCTCGCAAGGGGAGATTATCAAGAAAAGGCAAAAATAGGGTTGGGTCATTAAAAAATCTTCTTCTCAAGAACCACTGGGCCAATAAAGCTGAATCTTATGTGGAAGCATCTTGGGGTAGTGTAGATTCTAAATTGTTCAAATCATGACCCCCGGGGGAAGAGCGGGGCCACAATGGGGAATCAAAGTTTTAAATAGAAATATATAGGAAAAATCTTTGAAAATCTTCTCCTCAAGAACCACTGGGCCAGAAAAGCTGAAACTTATCTGGAAGCATCCTGGTATAGTGTAAATTCTAAATTGTTCAAATAATGACCACCGGGGGAAGGGCAGGGCCTCAATGGGGAATCAAAGTTTTAGATAGAAATATATAGGAAAAATCTTTGAAAATCTTCTTCTCAAGAACCACTGGGCCAGAAAAGCTGAAACTTATGTGGAAGCATCCTGGTATAGTGTAGATTCTAAATTGTTCAAATCATGACCCCCGGGGGAAGGGCGGGGCCACAATGGGGAATCAAAGTTTTAGATAGAAATATATAGGAAAAATCTTTGAAAATCTTCTTCTTAAGAACCACTGGGCCAGAAAAGCTGAAACTTATGTGGAAGCATCCTGGTATAGTGTAGATTCTAAATTGTTCAAATCATGACCCCCGGGGGAAGGGCGGGGCCACAATGGGGAATCAAAGTTTTCTATAGAAATATATAGGAAAAATCTTTGAAAATCTTCTTCTCAAGAACCACTGGGCCAGAAAAGCTGAAACTTATGTGGAAGCATCCTGGTATAGTGTAGATTCTAAATTGTTCAAATCATGACCCCTGGGGGAAGGGCGGGGCCACAATGGGGAATCAAAGTTTTCTATAGAAATATATAGGAAAAATCTTTGAAAATCTTCTTCTCAAGAACCACTGGGCTAGAAAAGCTAAAACTTATGTGGAAGCATCCTGGTATAATGTAGATTCTAAATTGTTCAAACAATGACCCCCGGGGGAAGGGCGGGGCCACAATGGGGAATCAAAGTTTTATATAGAGATATATAGGAAAAATCTTTGAAAATCTTCTTCTCAAGAACCACTGGGCCAGAAAAGCTGAAACTTATGTGGAAGCATCCTGGTATAGTGTAGATTCTAAATTGTTCAAATAATGACCCCCGGGGGAAGGGCGGGGCCACAATGGGGAATCAAAGTTTTATATAGAAATATATAGGAAAAATCTTTGAAAATCTTCTTCTCAAGAACCACTGGGCCAGTAAAGCTGAATCTTATGTGGAAGCATCTTGGGGTAGTGTAGATTCTAAATTGTTCAAATCATGACCCCCAGGGGAAGGGCGGGGCCACAATGGGGAATCAAAGTTTTATATAGAAATATATAGGAAAAATCTTTGAAAATCTTCTTCTCAAGAACCACTGGGCCAGAAAAGCTGAAACTTATGTGGAAGCATCCTGGTATAGTGTAAATTCTAAATTGTTCAAATAATGACCCCCGGGGGAAGGGCGGGGCCACAATGGGGAATCAAAGTTTTATATAGAAATATGTAGGAAAAATCTTTGAAAATCTTCTTCTCAAGAACCACTGGGCCAGAAAAGCTGAAACTTATGTGGAAGCATCCTGGTATAGTGTAGATTCTAAATTGTTCAAATAATGACCCCCGGGGGAAGGGTGGGGCCACAATAGGGAATCAAAGTTTTATATAGAAATATATAGGAAAAATCTTTGAAAATCTTCTTCTCAAGAACCACTGGGCCAGAAAAGCTGAAACTTATGTGGAAGCATCCTGGTATAGTGTAGATTCTAAATTGTTCAAATCATGACCCCCGGGGGAAGGGCGGGGCCACAATGGGGAATCAAAGTTTTAGATAGAAATATATAGGAAAAATCTTTGAAAATCTTCTTCTCAAGAACCACTGGGCCAGAAAAGCTGAAACTTATGTGGAAGCATCCTGGTATAATGTAGATTCTAAATTGTTCAAATCATGACCCCCGGGGGAAGGGCGAGGCCACAATGGGGAATCAAAGTTTTAGATAGAAATATATAGGAAAAATCTTTGAAAATCTTCTTCTCAAGAACCACTGGGCCAGGAAAAGTGAAGCTTATGTGGAAGCATTCTGGGGTAGTGTAAATTCTAAATTGTAGGAATCATGACCCCCAGGGGAAGGGCGGGGCCATTATAGGGAATCAAAGTTTTAGATAGAAATATATAGGAAAAATCTTTGAAAATCTTCTTCTCAGGAACCACTGGGCCAAAATAGCTGAAACATATGTGCCCATGGAAGGATCATGGGGTAGTGTAGATTTCAAAATGTCTAAATTATGATCAGTGGGGTAGGGATGGGATGCATTATGTATAACAAGGGGGAAATCTGGTAAAGAACAGAATGGTCACCGCTTCTCAGGTGAGCGATGTGGCCCATGGGCCTCTTGTTCATTTCGATGAACAGTGTTGCCATGGTTACTAAAAATAGAATTTTCTGTGAAATTCCTTTAAAACGCTACTCCTTCTACAGTTTTGATCTGATTTCAGTGTAACTTGGCACACAAGTAGACTACACTAAGATACATAAAATAGTGCATCGGATTTGGATTTCGATGAACGGTGTTGCCATGGTTACTAAAAATATTTTTCTGTGAAATTCCTTTAAAACGCTACTCCTTCTACAGTTTTGGTCTGATTTCAATATTATTTGGCACACAAGTAGACTACACTAAGATACATGGAATAGTGCATTGGTTTTTCATTTCGTTAAAATCAGAAGTGTTGCCATGGTTACTAAAAATAGAATTTTCTGTGAAATTTCTACAAAACACTACTCCTCCTACAATTTTGGTCTGATTTCAATATTATTTGGCACACAAGTAGACTAACTAAGATACAAAGAATAGTGCATCGGTTTTTAATTTCAATGAACGGTGTTGCCATTGTTACTAAAAATAGAAATGTCTGTGAAATTCCTTTAAAACACTACTTCTTCTACAGTTTTGGTCTAATGGCAATGGCTTCTTTTCTCATCATTTGTTATAAGTTCAAACCAGTAGAGCTACAGTCTCGACAGAGACTTCTGGTTACAATAGATTATCTTCTTTATCTTTCATGTTACAGTTAAAAAGATCAATTTGATTTACCATAAACCCAAAAAACAATTTTTGTAAAGATATTTTATAATATAAAGAATTTATACATGTATAAAACTGTTTCCTTGATTTCTGTTTTCAGGCCTTCTTTTAGCAGTGGTGGTCGGTCTCCGGAGAAGTGCAAAATATCGCACAAGTTCCGCAAAGAAGAAATAAAGGTTAGCATTCTATTCCTTTTATTATACCCCCGCTTGAAAAGTGGGTGGGTATACTGTAATCGGTATTTCCGTCCGTCCGTCTGTCTGTTACGCTTTGGGGTACCCATCTCTTATCCGCAACTCCTCTCATACCACTAAGTGAAATTTAGTGAAACTTTCCCAGAATCTTTATTGAATATTGCCATTATGCACCTCCTATTTTACTTTTTGATCCGAAACATATTTGGGGTTTTCCAGGGCAAAACATGGACACTGCCATTATATTCATATGGGAGGCGGGGGGTATCATTTAGTGAGCACATTGCTATCAGTATCTCTAGTTTATGTCTTTGATCAGGGAGAGGTCTTTTTCGTGATTCTGTTTCGACAAATGTTATAGTGTTTGTAAGATCAGTTAGAGTCTCAACGTCCCGCAGTTGGATGTAGGAGATTCCTAACGAAATATATGATTCCCATCCGGGAAATTTACTGTCGCAAAAAACTTCAGTATGTTACTGTTTCAGTTTTCTTCACATTTCAGGGTATATTGAGTAAACTTGAAAAATACTGGCCAGATCAGCTCCCTGGAAAAAATAAATATCAGTTTTGGTAAGGTTTTTTCTTCTTAATCAAGAAAAAAAATTTTTTTTAATTTTTAAATATGGCAGACCACAATTGAGTACAATAAAGAGTTTAGCGCATTCATTAGCGGATAAATATGAAACCGGTTTTAATTAAATATAGGGAACATGAATGGGAAAAGCATGGGAGATGTGCCACAGTTGTGAAGGCTACAGGAAGTGAGCTGAAGTATTTTAACAGAACGATTGCTCTTCGCCAACAATTTGATGTAGACAGGTATTTCGCAGGAAAAACAATGATGGGTTATTCACATGTATTAATACACACTATTTAAAATGTATTCATGAATGTATTTTTAATTTATAAGTCGACCTGTTATTTCCTTTGATGTTTGGAGATCTTTGTGATTATTTTTTTATCATAGGCTCCTTCAAGCCTGAGCATATAATGCGCTTTTCTTGAAAGAAAAAAAGGTTTAACTTACTTTATTTACAACCACTTTTGACGTAAACGGGTTAAGAGGAAATTCGATACCTAGAGTTAAAAAAACATTTCAAATATATGTATGCAATATACATTTCTGACCTTACTTTTTAGTTTTATACTTTCAATCTGATTGAAATCAGATCCTTTGATCCGCTCACAAAGATCGCTACACAAGGATCTGAAGAAACCTCATTGAGGATCATCTCCTGGTGACCTTTCTAATAAAAATATTCATGAAAATTTTGACCAATCAGAGAGATCGTACTTAAGCGACATTCGGGAAAACGAATATAGAAGTGAAAGTAGCTGCGGTGAAAATCTTATCGTTTCGTACAAAACAAAGAGCTAAAAAACAAGACAAAAGCAAGTACTTGTTATATTACTGTACTTTTGGCAGGCTACAGGAACTAGGACACGATTTTTCCATTCGTGTATCATTGCGCCTTTCACTTCTGTAACTGAATTCCGAGATACTTTCCAATTCTCTAAAGTGAACATTTGATTGGATAATTCTAAGGTCACCGGGAGATGACCCTGAATGGGGTTTCTTCAGATCCTTGTGTAGCGATCTATGTGAGTGGATTCTGATTTTAATCAGATTGTTATACTTTTTACCTCAAATCAAAATTGGCTTTTTCAAATTCATAAAAAATTAAGATATTAAATTTCATAGTAAAATCTCGAACCTCAAAGGTTTTATGCTCACCTGATCTGAAAGCTCAAGTCAGATTTTCTGATCACACATCGTTCGTTCGTCTGTAAACTTTTCATTAGTTTCAACTTCTTCTCAAGAACCACTGGGCCAGTTTTAACCAAACTTGTTACAACGCATCTTTTGGTGAAAGGGGGTTGGGGGGTTAAAACTGATAAGAAAGCTCTAAACATTAACAAATAGTGCTTTTTGGACCCGGAGAAAAATATTTCATGTAAAGATATGCATATTGAGACTATTTAATTCATTTCAACATAAGGTACCTGCCTTAATTCTGCAGGGAAAATGTTTGATAAATTGATGGACTTTGCGTGAACAGAAACTAACATACAGAAAATTAATGGAAATAATGAATTCAATTAATCAATCACTTATTCTTGGTCTAATGTAATGCTAAGGCATATTTTAGTATATTAAAGATTGTGCAATTTACTGTAAATGATATTTTTTCTATCTCATTTCTAAGGGCAGATCATTCTAGCCGCATAAAACTACCCTACAATTAGAACTCTTTAGTTTGCAGTGTTAATAGAGCTTCCTTAAAAGGAAGGGACAAGCTCCCTTACAAGGGGGCATGATAAAGGAAAGTTAAAAATAGGATGGGGTCCTTAAAGGCCCACTGGGTCAGAAAAACTGAAACTTATGTTAAGCATCCTGGGGTAGTGTAAATATTTTTTCTTCAGCTGGTATTCCTTGTATTCTGTCGAAATTCTAGAGCTTAAAAAATGTGTAAAATCAAAATCTTTGTATTATAAATCAACCTAAGAAAGGTTTCTTGCTTTTGTATTATTTTTTTGCGGATTATTTCGACACGGCATCAATGAGACACTCATTCAATAACTTTCGACTCAAGGTCGTTTTGTAATCCACCCAACCCCCACAATCATCGGCGGACTCAAGAAATGCCTTATCCCTTGATGCTTACTAATATGACCACACGGCTGACTGGAGGTACATTTCCCAAGTATTGCATTAGTCTGAAGTCGCAATTAGAGCATCGTTGTTCAAAACTGGGGACGGCATTGCCACAATTTTTTTTTGTAAATTTGAGTGGTCAAATGACTTTTGCTGTGAACGTCCAGTTCCAGAATATCCCGTCTTAAACTTTGTTGCATTCAGTCTTTGTATTTATTATGCAATGTAGTATCTAAGGTGTGTAATTTTACTTCAACAGGATGTTGTCTTCAGCTGGTGTCAAACCTGGAAAGTCATACAAGGTAAAGATGCAGTAAATAAGTAAATATTGGGGGGGGGGGCCATCCAAAAAGCCTTAAGCTTCTAATTTGTAAAAACCTAATCAAATTAATTGCCATTAAGGGTGAAGTTCCTGCTGCGAGGGAATGCTCCGCTGGGCGGAGCTCTTTTTTTTTGATTGCTTGTGGTTAACCGTTACTCTCCGTACTCGGTTTAAGTTGGTCTCCACGTACTGTAGTGGGATTTGAACTGGCGACGTTCAAGATAATCTCCTTGCCAGCAGACGCTCTAGCCACTGCGCCTCACCGCGGTGACTTATTTCTTGATACATTATTATGGATAAATTTTCGATGTGATTTTTTCTAGGTTATCCGTGTTGTATCAAACGCAAGAATTCCAGAGTTTCACTGTCTTTTCCCTCTCCAGGGTTGTGACTTTTATATCTAATGCAAACACGTTGGTCCCTGAAAATTACTTGTTTACAGTTTATTTCACGCAGAATATGCTCCACCCAAAATCTCAGGCGGAACGAGCTCTTTAGAAAACGGCCTTCGGATGTATATAAGGGTCGTTGGACGTTAACCGAGGCTCTTACTTGTAGGATAAACTAATCATGTTCAATTGTTGTGATAATGCTGTGTAGCAACCTCTAATGATAAAACGCCGCTTAATGATACAAATAGCATTAAGCGTTGCAGTTGCAACGCTTAATGCCATCAATTATTGCATTAATAGCTGACATTATCAACCGCTAATGCTAAATCGCCGCTTAATGATAGAATTATATCATTAAGCGTCACACATGCAGTGCAACATCGACGCTTAATGAAACAAGCAAATATCGACATATTCGACGCTTAATGATACACACTAGTGTATCATTAAGCGTTGCAGTTGCAACCCTTAATGATATAAAATTTAGAAATCGTTTGTAATTTCTAAGAGAAACACACATCCACCTTTCCTGAACAATGAAATATCACTTATCAAAATATTTATAAATGCCCTTGTGCTATATAAATGGTAATTATTGAAGTTTTACTGTGTTTTCTATCTAGTCAAGGGAACGTCTTAAAGCCCCGGATGTTTAAGAGACAGACAGACAGATAGCTGGAAGAAAGAGATACAATCAAAGGGATAAATAAACTGATATTCAAATCCTTTTAAAAGATCCATTTTTCCCTGAAAATACAGAAGCATACAAGCAATTAAATTCCTTTTAATTTGATACAATGATTTTTAATGATTTTAACCTAAAATATACAGAATATATTTAAATGTTCCAAACTTTTTATTTTAGATTTGATACAGTTTAACGCATGTCACTGTTTACGTTTCAGATATACGTATCGAGAAATAAATTCATAATTTTCACTATAATTGTATTTTTAATCTGCTTTGTTTCTCCAAATTTCGAAAAAGAGAGACATCAATATTGACAATTTATGTTTAAGTATATAAAACACAAAGAATACAAATGAATGCAATACATTGAATAATATACATGTATTATTCTGAGAAAAAGATTCATTTATTCTTTATTTGTTATCAATTTTACTTAAATACTTGAATACATTACTGTGGCATAATTATTTTACAATCAATTTTGAAAACTAGTACATGTAAATAATTATCAAATTATAAAAAAAATATGTCGAATGAAATTGATGAAGCTGATTTTTTTAAAATTCTAAATGACGCATACTTCATTTTGTAGTATATTTTCCTGTCTGTCTTTCCGTCTGTCTGTAAACAATTTTTAAAATGCTACTCCTCCTGCTGTTTTGGTCTGATTTTTAAAATAACTTGGCACACAAGTAGACTACACTAAGATACTTAATTTCTGTATCGGTTTTTGATTTCAGTGAACGGTGTTGCCTTATTTACTAAAAACAGAAATAATAGAATAAAATGCTACTTATTCAAAAGTTTTTGTCTGATTTCAAAATAACTTAGCTCACATGTTGACTATACTTAAAGATATCGGTTTTTGATTTCGATGAACGGTGGTGCCGTGGTTACTAAAATAGAAATTTCTGTGAAATACTTTCAAAATGCTAATCCACCTACAGTTTTGGTCAGATTGTAATATAATTTGGCATGCAAGTAGACTATACTGGCATACACTATTATCAGTTTCGTGTTTTTGATTTTGTTGATTGATGTTGCCATGGTAACTAAAATTGACAAGAGGCCCACGGGCCTTATAGGTCACCTGAGCATTATGCAACAACTTTCCAGTTACAGTGTATTGAATTTGATTCATGTTTTAAGCCAGATGCTATATGGCATTCACAATTTTGAAAGGGCACCATTGATCATCATAACAATAAACTTAACAGTTGCTTAGCATGGTTACTGAATACCCATATGCAGGGTAGGGGAACAAAAATGCACTCCAACTAATCAGTAATATTCAGCAATAATCAGTAGTGCCCCTAACACGGTGACATAAACCCCTGAACCTAGGTCCAAACATTGCACAAATTTTTAAAAGGCACCCTTAAAATTGCCTATCAAAAAAATAAATAAATGTTTTATAAATACAAAGGAGCAGATTTCAAACAATAAATTCATTTTTCAGTATATAAGTAGAGCCCCCCCCCCCGCCCCTGACCCTGGGGCCTTAAAATACACAATTCTGCAAGATTAGGGCCCTTGCTCATCATAACTATATAGGTAGTTCATCTACTTCATTCCCAGAGACAGAGAAGAAAATTTTCAAAGATTTAATGAATTTTCACTATGTAATCAATAGAACCCCCCCCCCCCCCCCCCCCCCCCCCCCCCCCCCCCCCCCAACACCAGATCCCTTGACCCTGGGGCCATAAAATTCACAATTTTGGTTGAGGCACTCCAGCTCATCATTACTATGCACTTAGTAAGTTTATTTAATACCTAGGAGCAGAGAAGAAGATTTTCAAAGAATTCATGTATTTTCACCATATAATCAATAGAGCCCCCCCCCCCCACACCAGATCCTTTGACCCTGGGGCCATAAAATTCACAATTTTGGTTGAGGGCACTCCAGCTCATCATAACTATGCACTTATTTAGTTTAATTAATACCTAGGAGCAGAGAAGAAGATTTTCAAAGAATTCATGTATTTTCACTATATAATCAATAGAGCCCCCCCCCCAAACACCAGAACCCTTGACCCTGGGGCCATAAAATTCACAATTTTGATAGAGGCACTCTTTCTCATTATAACTCTGCACTTAGTTAGTTTATTTAACACCTAGGAGCAGAGAAGAAGATTTTCAAAGAATTCATGTATTTTCACCATATAATCAATAGAGCCTCTCCCCCCAACACCAGAACCCTTGACCCTGGGGCCATAAAATTCATAATTTTGGTAGAGGCACTCTTCCTCATCATAACTATGTATTTAGTTGGTTTATTTAATACACAGGAGCAGAGAAGAAGATTTTCAAAGAAATAATGCATTTTCACTGTATACTTATTTAGCCCCGCCCTAGCACTAGAACCCCTGACCCCAGGGCCATGAATTTCACAATTTTGGTAGAGGACTCAATGCTGATTACAATCATGCAAATAGTTTGACTGCTTGATGTCCAGGAGTAAAGAAGAAGATTTTTAAAGATTGCATTAATTTTAGTGGTTTTGGCCCCACCCCTCAGGCCCCAGGGGGGCAGGGATCATGAAATTCACAATTTTTGTTCCCTTCACCCATAGATGCTTTGTGCCAAATTTGGCTGAAATTGGTTCAGTGGTTGCAGAGAAGAAGCCGAAAATGTTCAAATGTTAACACACGACGGACGACGCACGACGACGGACGAAAACGGATAGCAATAGGTCACCTGAGTTTACTCAGGTGACCTAAAAATTCTGTAAAATTTTATTGAAAGCTATTACTACAGTTGTAGTTTTATCGCAATCTTGCCACAAAAATAGACTTAATTAAGGATCGTCACTCTATTTATTGCTTTTATTAAGTTTTAAGCTCCAACTGCTACTTTTTTCTACTTTAATAAGTAAATACAAACGAGTAGAGCTACAGTCTCGAAAGAGAGATATTTTTTTCTTTCGATATATACGACTAAGTTTACATCTGACTAATATTAAAATGAAATAGATTAAAATGAATAGTTCTTTTTTCGGTACAAGAGATACCCTCTCTATTAATGCATGTACTAGTATTCATTTCTGGTACATTATTCTTTTAAAGAAATGGTCCTGTTCCTATAAAAAATGTTGGAACCTTTTTCTGAATCCTAACCTTGAAATATAATGAAATATTAAGAATAGGAATCAAAACATAATTACATCAAAGTTTCAAAGTCTTTACTATTGTTAAT